AACATCCTCCCCATACTCCCTCGCCCCCGAAGCAGCCACCCTTGATCTAAAGTTCGACGGCCTAAGCTCCCCCTGCGCATCGAGAATGTCTATAAACGAATTCCGCTTATCATGCGCTGAATCTGTCGAGCTCTCGCGGCGATGATGCGTTGGGATTGATGGTACGGGAGGTGGTCGTTCGCGACCTCGTGTTTGTCGCTCTGGAACACTCCATGCTGAATTGGAGCTTCGGATGCTTCGTGAGAGGGAGTATGGGGAGGATGTTGCGGAGAGGAATATTGGCGAGAATGGCGTGAACCTTAATAGTGCTGCTGCAAAGGCGTTTTATCGAATTTCTGGGGGGAGGGAGCTGCAGTCGTTTGAGTATGAGGAAGAAGAGGATGATTCTGCGCCTGCGCCGGGTGTTCCGCATGGTGATTTGGGGACGATACGGGAGGCTTGGTCAAGACCGTCGAGTTCGTCAGCTTGGAGGTCGTTTTCGGGATCGATTGGTAATGATCTGCTAAGATCAGGGAAGCTGAATCGACGAGAGTCGCAATCAAATCTCAACCCAGGAACATTATCGATGCGGGATCGGAGAAGGTCGTTCAATGCATTTGCTTCTCCATCAGAACCCGAACCTCAACCTCGCAAGCCTCGACCCATGAGTCTACATCCTTCACTATCCAGTGGCTTAACATACGAGACGTCATCTTCACCACCGCCAGTTCAAAGATCTCGACCAAAGACAAGCGAAGGTCGAAGTCGAGGAAGGAGTTTTGGTCGTGTTGAGATTGATACGGTTGACGAGGCGTTTGATGAAGCTGCGCCGTGTCCGATTATCCCAGCTCAATTCAGACCAGACAAGCGGGCAAGTGTATATCTTGAACCAAATTACCGATACGACCGGAATGATGTTCATCCTCGTCCAGAGTCATATCACGGAGGATCAACGCTCTCATCTTATCCACGAAGCGAACTGTCACAACCTTCACGCCCATCGAGCTCTTCATCAATTGACAAACCATTTCCTCGATCTCGCACAATGGCCAGCGTTGCTCTACGAAACCAACGTCTGGATGATATTAACGAACACATCCCAGTGCGGACATCTTCTCTTAACGTCAACTCACAAGCAAACATCACCCCTACAACACAGTCATCAGGTTTCTCGAGCATCCAATACCCCATTAGCCATCATACGCCAAGTACTTCTATAGATGCATCTCTGCCACCTTCGATCAAGATGCGTCCTGATCATGAGCAGAGTGCTGCAGTTAGTCAGAACACTCAGCATAACTCGCCTGGGGATGATTACTCCGCCGAGACGCTTGTTCCATCACGGATGGATGTGGAACAACATCTCGGCCACCCCATAACAACCGGCCACGACATGGATCTCTACCTTTCCGATGCAAGCGAAGACTCAATAGACTCCTTCGTCGCATGGAAAGAGAAGCGTCGCGACGGGGAAGGACTCCTTATGAAGGACCACTACGGCATGTCCGGCGACGGTCTCCCAGGGATATACGAACCCCTCCCCATCCTCAAAGCACCCGCCTCACCACCCCCAATCCCCATAATCCCCCCTTCACCAATCTCAAAACGTCCCAAAACGCCAAAAAGCCCAAAGAGCCCTCGCACACGAAGCAACAAGTCCACACCCCGCCGCACGCGCCAATCCCGCAGTCGCACAACGACACCCCGCCGAACACGCCAGGTCTCTACCTCTGAAGACCAAGACTCTGATTCATTCTGGGAGAGTG